GTTTTTAATAGAATCTAAATAACGTTGTTATAAAGTTTTGAATAAACAATGTTACAATAAACAAAACCGCTACCAATCAACCTGCCACAGCCAATATGTCGCTAGTCAAAGCACCAAACCTATTATAGAGCACATTAATTCTGATACGTACTTAAAGCATATATTAAGCATAACATATATATTTATAGAGATGAAATCGTAGCAATTAAGTTCATGTAAAATAAATAAAACTATAAGAAAAAACATACGTAATTCAAGTTTTCTTTAAATATATAAATATATGTAAAAAGTATATTCGAATATCAAAATGGATTAGACTAATATATATTTTTTTAAACTGTAACAAAATCATTGTAAAGTTTTAGTATGATATCAAGAAAATGAAAAAATATATAAAATTTACTCGGTCAACTATTTACGAGTCCAGTCAACGAGGTTACAGATGTTGAGTTTGAGAGCGATCGGAACTTCTATGAATTTAAATTACAAGTTTATCACCTAGAGTTTATGAAGTGACCATCGCTTGTGGCGTTCCATTTTACAAGTTGTGCTTTTTGTGTTTAAAGCTACGATACTTTATAGATTGATGGACTCAAGATCGCGGTGATACCTTTCAAAATACGTGCAGCCAAAATTGGCCACCAAAATTGCAGTATATATTTTTGTACCTTTATCAAAAGTATCCCAGTCAGTAGTAGCCCAAGACCCACTTTGGGTCGATGCGCCAGCGGAGTAAGTTATCAAAAGTCACAGAGTTAGTTCCTTTTATCCTTAGTATTAACACCGATATCATTATAAACTACTATATAATTACAATTACTCACTTAAGGTTATATAAAGAAAAATCCATAGAATTGGTATTAAGTCTTATGTAAATAAAAAGATATGTAAACGCAAACAACTACCGTGTGAGTGATTACGTGACACAACTCCGCACAAAACACACGGGACCTGAGTAAATGAATGCACGTCTCACATGCATTTTTATACAATTGATAAACAAACTATGACTACAACGAACTTTGCAAAATGATAACGAACTAGAATATTATTTCTTTAACATAATCTGTTACAACACATTGTAATAACGGATTGGGTTATTCAGAGATAGTAATATTCCTTTTCAATAAACCCAATTGACTGACCCGTACTATGTATAACGTTTTAGGAAGATTACTACTATGATGTCACTTCACTATTGTAAATCGGTAAGCCTTTTAAGATATAAGACCTAATAATGATATCTACATTGATTAGAATATGATTACTTAAAAATTTCCCTTATTTTTCTGCTTTAAATTTGTTAAATACACGTTGAGCACAAGTTACCGTACAGAATACGTGACTTGTCTTTAAGTTGAGAGCTTAAATTACGTCGTTCATATTCTCATTACTTGCTCAACTTGAGTCGTCCTTTAATGAGTGACGTACGTTCTGCAAAGTAATTATTCTTACTAATGATTACTTTTCGTAAGCATTTTAATTTTCCTATTTCATTTATACCCCTCGTTCTCTTATGTCTTTTTAATTAATCTTCTTTCTCAAGAAGTTCTGAAGTTCTTTTTTTTTCTTATGTTCATATGTAAAATTCTATTCTGCTGAAAATAAAGATTTTTTGAAATATAAAAATCACTAGTGTTGTACCTTAGTGAAAAATAAAGCGGCGTACTTAATCCGTGTAACTGCGTCTGCGATAACCTAATATACATTTCACATAAGAGACTGTAATTTTCCAATAAAGCAATTAGAAATCTACTCGTAACAGAAGCTATGAATAAATAAATTGTCCGGGAAACACGATGGGTGAGAAATTAAATTTTCCCATCCGTTATAATTGAATTTCATGCGTTCATACTCGACGATGGAAATATGGAGATTTGATATTAGCCGCCATGTTGCATTTAATTTTTTTTAACAAAAAACGTAACAGAAAACATCCTTAAATAGATATCTGAAGCGTGGGGTATAATTTGCGTAGAGTTATCTCCACCGAGTAAGGACAGACTCGCTTTTAGTAAATTGCACTGTTTAGCATGAATAATGTTAACTCCGATTCTAGTAGAATAAGATGTTAAAAGTAGCTCTAAATAACTATGTTAAGAATTCTTTAATCCTTTTTCTGGTGGTGGCAATATGTGTGCCACCAACAGTTTTATGATTTTTTCCACTGTGTATCACCCAAGTTTTAAATCATTTCATCAACTGCAAGAGGAAAATCCATGAACAGAATTTGACAGAGAACTTCAAAGTTCAAAAAAGTCAAAAAATTTCTGTAGCATTCGTTGAGTTATATTTGGCTCGTTCACGTACCAACACATGTTGCCGGCCCAAAGGTCTGACATCGACTGACGTCCCCTCTCTCTGGCATGTTCTCATGGCGTGTACGCTCGAGACAAACAACACTTCGTTTATGCGTACACTACAATTACTAATTAATTATTATTTGTTAATCTCGAAATCTCTTTAATAAATTACTCTGTGGTGCTTATTATTTGTGTAATTTTTCAATTTTATAAAGACAAGTGGATATAAGTGAAAATAATTTGATGGTATCGCACAATGTTAAGAGAAATATAAAACAAAATTAAAGCAATAAATTTTATAGCAAATTGCTTATCGATATGATTCGAGTGGCCGTCCGTGGATGTTATTAATCCTCAGACGAAACCACAAAGTTATGATTTATTTTCCTTTTCCTCTGAAAAGTTTCAACAAGCTTTCCTATTGCTTTTATATTTTGTTTACTATGTAGCAGAATCATATTTACACAAGGTTATATAATTCTATAAACGAACAAATCTCGTTGAAGTATTACGATATTAATTGGTATCTACATAGAATCACTAATCAATTCTACAACATTTATTTCCTTAATTTAAATTTCTTAACTTATTTTTTCAATACTTCAAAGCATAACTGAAGCAATAGCCTAATGGTTAAGGGTACGGATTTCCGATGATGAGGTCGGGGGTTCGAATCTCGCCATTCGACTATTGTCGTAAACCATGTCCTAGCACAAGCCTAGAGCTTAGTTGGAATGGTACAATAAATATCAGTAAATTTCCTAAAATCTGCTAATATTTATTTTAAAAAAAATTAAATAAATTACTCAGATTTTGGCGACAATGTTCTTAGGAACAAACTTAATGAGGCAGACAAGATTACTTTAAAACTTTATTCATTTTATGTACTTTTATTGATCTAATATATATCATGTCATATGAAACTTCAAGTGTAAAAAATAATGAGTTCCGATATGTCACAGATGTCACAACCTGGATCTCAGCAAAAGTTAACTTAAGTTGAATTGACAGAGTACTTGCCGTGGCTTCTGCATGTTATGATACTGGACCATGAGTGAGATAGTAACTCTTAGTAGAGTCTATTAAAAATAATTATCCTATGAGTCAACAAATAGATTAATTAGTTGATAATGTTTTAAAACAATATTTTCGATTTCGAACGGATTTTGATGAATTTTGGCACAGATGTAGTTAACTGTCTGGAAGAACACATAGACAATATTAAGTTTTTTTAATATCGCGCGGAGTGCGGGCGGTAGCGAGTATCATCGTAAAAGTGCCATTTTATATATACGATACGTTTATTTTATCGAAGTATATTCGCTAATCGTATAGATTTTAATTAAATAATTGAACAGAATACTCGTTGTACTTGTGTTGGTCAAAGCTTTTATCAATATGAAATAAATTTACAAGTACTATCTAGATTGCTTTTAGTGACCGTGAAAATGTCAGGTGCGCATCAAAAAGCTTTTAACGTAACATACTAATTACATTATATATTTTTATTGATTAATGTAACCTTTTAGGTTACGGCCTAATACTGTATAACTCATCGTACGGTCGTGTTACTTAACTAACATTATGTATTAAACGGGCAAATTAAGGTTTTGTCCACACTTTTTGGCCGACGTCACTAGGGTGAAACGCTACAGAATTGTCTACCATGGAAACCCTGAGTGAGGCAGTTAGTGTATTTTAAAAGTAGTGGTAAATGTTTATCTATTGAAATTATCTCTTACCCTTCCAACAAGCTTGTTCCTTTTTTTAATTCTAATCGAGACCAACTAAGGAATGTAAGTATCAACATTTTTTTTATTAAAAAGTCTTTAACAGATGGTAATTAATTAACAGGAAGGCAAGCAGCTCATTTTTGCCGTTTTTGCATTTATCATCTCGTTTTGAAGCGCGTTAATACGCTTAATTAATTAAAGGCTTTTTGCAATTTTATGCAGAATATATTTTATTCGTTGTCCTGCAAAATCGGTTTTACAACTGTTTGTTGTTGCTGTTTTAAACAGTAACATTATTTATTCGGTCTAATTTTTGCAGTGACAAAAGAAACATAACTTTGTTATTTTATGTTTTATATTTAACATGGCGTTTTAGAAATCAATAAGGAAAATAACGAGATTTTTTTAAGTCAAAATATAATCCGATGCTCTAGGCATATATCCTACTGCATATAGCTAAATTTATTTTTATTTTGATAGAGACGTATGGAAGACGTATGAAGACTTCTGTGCCGAACTTCCGTAGGGAAAAGCTCAGGTGGATGATAATTTTACTTATGGACTATAATATAAATACTTCGTAAAAATTAAATATGTAGGAGCAGCGATTACTTTTTATAATATAACCCGAGGCGATGATGCTTAACACGCAGCGCTGTAATTTGGCTCTTGAAATTCTATTATAGACTCCTTGTCGACTCTAACTAATGACAAGCCTACCGTAAAATTCAAAGAGGCAACTTCCTCATCACTTATTGAATTTTAATGTCACATTATAGAAATTAAAATACTAGAGTAATGTAAGAAAACTGGAAACTTTAAAGATAACCACTTCAGTCTGCTCCAGCTTGTTGAAAGCAATAGACATTTAATACGTAATAGGATCACAATATCATATTAAGCCAAGTTCCAACATTTTCCTTAACTTTCATCAATCCTTTGAAAACAGAATCTCAAAAACAATATGCTGAAAAAGTTTAAAGCATTTTATAACAAAGAGAACTTTAACAGTTCAGAAGGATTAGTAGATCCATATAAATATCATTGTACGTGTTATTACATTTTAAAATACTTTCAAGTTTTGGATAACGAACCTAAGCCAATATGGAGGTAAATATCGGCAGTCTTTATCTATTGTATTATATTATTTTTAAAACAGTTTAGTTAGCTTTGGTCGCCATAAGCTATATCAATATAACCCTTGTAGTTTCTACTGTATGTTAATTTAAAAGACAATTTACTACTCTACTTTATTCCGATTCTTTTTCAGATATATTATTTTAATATTTCTTGCCGTTACTACATTGCTTGCTTTGTCTACTCTGGGAGTGACCGCGTCACATGGCTTTGTGATAAATGATTTAACTACAATAACAGAAGCTGGTTGTTACTTCATAATATTACTTTATGAATTATTAATGCTCTTATGTACTATTAATAATTTACCTCAATACCACGTCTTTTTGGACACACTGAGGAAAGATTTTAAATTCATATGTACGGATGGAAAAAAATACAGGTGCCCAAACTCAATTTTATTAATGAAAATAGTGTTTTGAAAATTATTATTCATGTTGTAATGTGTTATACTGACTCTTAGAATAGAACAGAACAGAACAGAACAGAACAGAACAGAATAGAATATTTATTGCCACAAAAAACCAGAAAACGTACAAAAAAAAACATCTCTTTAATAACATATTATGAAACGTTCCGACTATTCAATCGCTTTAGTATCGTACCATACTAATCAAAAAAGGTTTCCAAATTTCGAATAAATAAAGGTCTTATGCGTCATCTTAGGACCATTCTTCTTTTTTTAATGCTACTCCATTACTGAAGGTTGTCAGTTAACTCAGCAAACCCATCTCTGTCCTGTACCAGATTAAAAATGTATTCGACTCTGGTAGTAGAAGTCCCAGATGTTTCTGAATCATGACTTTCTTTTTCTTTCAAAGCATCTTCTGGCAGCAATTAAGCCCATCAGTATATTATAAGTCGAAGAAGCTCACATTTTCCTTGTCACAAGACATGATTAGGAGCATGTTAATACAAAAAACAAGTGGAATATTAATTGAACTTATTTACTGTTTTACATTTCAAATTTTACAGAGCAAGATTTTTCGAAAACCAACTAAAGATTTGGAAAATGTGTATACTATCTGTCGTGTTTACGAGTTTCATTGGACTCGGCGTTGTCTGCATCACGCTACTGTGGTTACTCTGGTACGTGGTAACGCACGAGCCAGGGGACGAGACTAGTCGACCACTTCTATTTCCCTTTTGGTACCACGATATCGACTTCGGCAAGACACCGTACTACGAAGTGGCATTTGTATTCTCCAACTTCTGTTCTTTGGCGTACGCTTATAGCTACATATGTAAGCGTTGAATATATTATTATAATTCACACTTAAACTCTCTAGCGTAAAAGGAACATACTCTATGATAAGAAAATCTGTTCCTATATAAAAAAATGCGATCAGTTCAGTTAGTTAAGTTCACAGTAACTCAATAGAGTTTAGCCGGAACAATCAAATAATCAACTCTTTTTCTCTATAACATTTTGTTCGGGTTGAATATTTATCACTGAATACCAAAGGTATAAAACTTGGTAATGATAAACATTATTTTTTGGCATATTTTTGTAGTTATGATCCAAACACAAATATTTTGGGTGGGACAAATAACAACTAAAGCGGATCTGATTATATGGTACATTGAAGATCTGATGGAAGGACTTAAGATACCTACTAATAAGGATGAAACTGAACAATTCGAGTCTCAAATCAAATACAGGATGAGCATAATAATACGAGAACATCATTCTATGTACAGGTCAAAGATCATTTATTGCAGTAATAATTTTATTTAAGTAATAACAACATATAACCTTGAGGGGTAGACTGACACCACAAACTTTCATATGGTGCGGTATTACTATCCCTTTCCCGCTTTTTCTTTAAGTAATAATTATATTATTCTGAACTAATTCTAACAAATGTTCTATACAACTTCTCAGGCTTTTAAAAAATTACACCAAAGTATACAAAAAATTACTTATGTTTGAACAAAAAGCTGGTGGTCCCGTCGTCTGCTTGACCGCATATTGCAGTGCTGAGGTTATTATTTCTTTATTTGGTAATGATGTTTGTATTCGTGTAATATTTGATCATCAGCTTAAGTATAATATAAGCAAGCATTTGCAGTATTTTAATATACAATTTTCCTTTTTCTTGTTGAAATGCCTCTTCGACTAACAAAGGTTGGTGATCAGTTCTCCATATTTTCTTTTGTCTCTTGTGAGGTGAAAAAGTTGGGCGCCATTTATAACTCCTATCTACTCTCGGATGTTGCGCAACCAGGATTTCTTTTTTTTTTATCAAAAAGTGGCAAATGAGAGAGCGGCCACCCGGAATCACTGAAATAGCGAAGCGACCGTTTCCAATAGACATATGCAATTGCATATTCGTTTCCTACCTTTAATCGACGGAGGAGGGGATGCACAGATATAAAATATTATCCCTCCCTATGCATCCCTTCAAGGTCACTTCCATTTATCATCCTTTCCTTATAAGAAAAGGGTGGGAAGGAAAAAAGGCCTAAGGGACGCAAACTACTACTCCATCAATCTACAATTAATCAGTATTAATTTGTACAAAATATTACAGAAACTTAAAGATGGAGAAATAAATGGCATAACAATGTTATTGTGCGGTGGAACAGTAATTGAAGTATTTATTCCCAGTTATTTGAGTACAATAATGGGAATGAAGGTAATTTATATTTAAATGTTTTATTTCCTTATGAAGCTTACAATGATTAAATATGATATTTTTAGTTACGATCTGTTGGCGAGGCTTGTTTGGATATACCTTTTTGGAATATTGGAAATATTATACGGCCCTATATTATTTTAATGATGCAAAGATCGCAACGGCCATTACAACTTAATGCTCCGGGATTCGAAGATGTCTCTGTTCAGACGTTTTCTAATGTAAGATTTATAAAATATTCAATTCAAATTTACTTCCTATTATTATTAAACTTAGTAATATTTATATTTCCTATTTTCAGAAAATGGCATCAGCATATTCTTTTTTTAATATGTTAAGACAAGCTAATATTTAGAATTTTATATTATTAAATATTTCTCACAGAAAGAGGGAATTAATTTTATGCACTGCATTAACACCGAATTAAAAATGAATGATTATAATAGCAATAAAAGTGTTTTAACTGAAAAGATTAAACAATGCACATACGGTTAAATATTTTGAAACTTTTAAAATGGTTTATGGTCGCAAATTAATTGTAATTATTGATAAATAAAATTATTCATCATCCTATTCCTACTATTATTTTTTAAATGGAAAGTAAATTAAAATTAAGTTGTTTTTAGCTTTAAATTTCCAATCGCAACATTTGGTAATCTGTTAGGACATATTTATCTTACTGTTAGGTTACTTACGGATATAAATGTCAATGTTAATTATAATATACTTTATATTTAATATTTTTGTACTTAATATTATTGTTGAAAGCTAGATGCTTTCTTGCACGGTTTAGCACTCTTGTTATATTTATCACTCTTATTTTACTCCAGATGATTGTAAGAAGGTTTCTCCAGAACCACTGCATGAATCTCACTGAAATTTGGCATAGATATATAATATAGTCTGGACGAACAAAAATGCTACATATCAGTTACTTAAACGCGGACAACAGATAGATTAATTTATAAAATTATTTTTTACTAGTAAAGTATTGTATCGAAATTGGTAACTAACCAAACGAAGCGTTTGTGAACTACGAAACGTGTCAAACCGACAAATGACGGATAGGTCGCCCAAACTTAAATTATGCGGCGCGTCACTCCTCGTGTCATTTGCTATTCCAACACGCTGTATGCACGTTTAGAGCTAGTAATCTAATGTAATTAGGTTGTTTATAAACACAATATAAACGGAGCTTTGATAACTTTACCTTGTCTTTTATTTTATTTTTAAATATGACATAAAAATTGATTATATTCGCTAACTTTCTACAGAAGTAATCGAATTCAAAAATTGTACATCTTAAGATTTAAGTAACTAGTTGTTTGGTCTATCAACTCGAACAAAAAGATATTAAATTCGAATGATATCGGTACCTAGAATGTAGATAACTTTATGTGTATGATGTCAATGAAAATCTATTTAAGTAAATAATGGCCCTATATATAGCTAACATTCGTCGCCAATATTACTCTTTAAAACAGGAGTAATACATATATATATATATATATATATATGTATTACTAGCAGACCCGACATACGTTGTCCTGTCTACACGTCTTTAATGTGAATAAATTAATATGAAGTTAATATTTGATGAAAATTGTGAATCTAAACCATTCCCAGATCCCCTTGAACACACACAAAAAATTTCATCAAAATCGGTCCAGTCGTTTGAGAGAAGTTCAGTGACATACACACGCACACAAGAATTATATATATAAAGATATATATATATATATACTTATGCAATTTCATTAGACACAACTCTCCTTCAATCCTGGTTGTTATCAACTTATGTTCAATCATTTTCGAGTGTCGAATAATCGGTTAAGGGTGAACGGTTTCCATCACGTTTGACCGTCGCTCTGCTTTCAATTCGTTACGATAGGCACGTGCCGTGATACATGCCGGCTGCGTTGACTGGCCACCGATACTGATACTTACAAAATCACGAGCATTTCTAAAATCCTATACGGATATCGACAAGATTTGCTGAAACACGTATCGAATATGATCCTTATCTTTTTCCCTAAAATTTATTTTTAAAAGAATACAGGATTAAACAAATTAAGTTTAACAATTGAAAATAAGTCTTCTTTTTTTCAAAAAAAGATAAAAGTTTTTTTTTGTCGATTTAAAAGAATTGGTGTGAAATGAAAATGTCAGGAAAATAAAAAAATCAAGTAAAATGAAAATAAAAACAGATAATTTTTTGTTGAAATATTTTACCCGAAAAAATTAAATTAAAAACCTACCGATGTGGCTTGAACGGAAACGAACTATAATCCTCTTCATATTCTCTATAATTTAATTTTGCAGTGTGTATACAAATGCAAAAATATTTCTGTATAAAATTTACATAAAGACATGACAAAAATGTTGCATAATTTACTTTGTATAAATATAACCCATGCGTAATTTAAAAATAAATTATGCGTAATTCAATACTTTTACATAGTTTTAGACATTATTAGTTAGAATCCTTTGGCGCGAATGGCGCTTTCATTACAATGTCAAGTGTCAGAATGATTAGTGAGGGAACATAAACGTCGATATTTTAGTAAGGCCAGTGTTGCGCCTGTACACCGACTCAGTGTCAAATGTTCTTCCTAACAATAGATACAGTAAAGATTTTTTATTATAATACATCAAAACAGCTATAATAAACTAAGGAAATACACTTAACATGGAGACGGAAGCAAGACTAATATCTACTTAGCGAACATTAATATTGTAAACTTATGTGCGAGACCATACAATGGTTTCTTAGATGCGTCCATTAGCGTCTTAATTTCAATTTAAGCTTATTGGACAATGATAAGTTAAAACCTCATTGTTATTTAAAAAAATAAATAGTACTTTACAACAAAAATCATTTAAAACCATTTCCCTAATATTAGGACATTTAAGAACGTCTGTAATAAAATGATAATAAAATAATTCAAGAGGTAATAATAAAGTACCTGTAAATACGAAATCTGCACAATATTTGTCAGTTCAGTCATCCGTAATGAACCAGCGGAAGGGCCCTCAGATTAATGTATTCATAAAAGGAGGTACGGATATTTCATGATGTCATCTCTCACTGCAACTTAACGGTAACGAGTTCATTAATCAGATAATGATTGTCTTTTCCTTTAAGTTACAGACTCTCCCTAATTCTTTAAATTAAAAAAAACAAAGCATTTTACTTACATTACTAATATAATAAGTGCAAATGTTTGGATAGATGGATAGATGTTAAAAGGTATTGGAGAAACAGTTGCATGGATCTCGCTGAAATTTAGAATAGATTTAGATCATATTCTGGAAGAAGTATTTAATTCCGTGCGGACGGGGTCGTGGGCGACAGTTAGTTTATTAAAACAATAACAAGACGTTTATTACATTAACAATATACAGAAATGGATCTTGTTTCGAATTCGTCACCAGTACTGTGTATATTGATAGATTTTTATCTTCCAAATGTAGTGCTAAAAAAGAATCAATGGCTTAATAAAGTTCAATGGAAATGGTTTTAAACAATTCCAGAAATTATTTTATTTCACGTTGGACTGTAAACATTTTATTTACTAGTTTGTAACATCGAGATGGTACTAAAGGAAATGGACGACAAGCGGAAGTTAGCTTAAAGTCCTACGTTGAGACAGCGGACGTCCGAGTTAAATACAACTTACATCCACACCACAAATAGAAATATTTCGTATGTTCAAGTCAAGGTGGTCCATTTCTTTACCTTGCTCAAGAACTCTGATGTTTTAAGGACCAGTGTTTTCTTAATTACCTGTCCTACTACTCTCCTACCTATTAAAAAATAATTTCCTAAGAAATAAAAATTTAATAAAAAGCGACATTCGAAAGAATATTTTATATAAATTTGCTTAAATAAGTTGCTTGTTACCTTTAATTATATTTTTTTGGTAAAACACCCCAGCTACTTTGACGCTGTAGTTAATTAGTTGTGTATTCGGGCCTCCTACCGCTATCAATCATATTTTCAACATAATCATTTTAATTTTTTTAACCAATTTTTTATTAATTTTTTATGTGCTTTTTTTGAAAAAATATATTTGTTTAATTTAATAGAAAAAAATAATAGCACAAAGAAATTTTGACTGTTTTAATGATAATTTTCTAATCTTACTTCTTACGATCTTACTAATATTATAAATGCGAATGTTTGGCTGGATGGGTGGAATGATCGATGGATGGATGTTTGTTTTAAGTTATCTCCAGAACTGCTGAATTTTAGTATAGATGTAGAACATAGTCTGAAAGAACAGATAGGCTAGTAATTACTTTATTTAGTTCCGTACAGACGGAATCGCGGCCACAGCTAGTACGGTATAAATATCGAATTTAATTTCTTCAAAACTTTATTGTAATGGAAACATCTGTGTGCAGGTAATCCTAGGATTTACAACAGCGACGTGAAATTGCTATTATTGCATTAGTTACAAGTTTAGTTTAAAATTTATGAACGTTATAATCCTTTTAATTACTTGTTCCGGCCACACAGTCACACCAAATTTGTTCTAGTCCCACAAGGTGGTGGGATGCAAGCTAGGGAGGTGGGTCAGCTTTCGCAATCCGTTTCCTTCACTTCGCTCTGTCCATGACATCTTCTTCTGAAACTTGGCACTCACTCATGTCTTTTATTACTACATCTTTCCATCTCGTTTTGGGTCTGCCTCTGGATCTGCGACCAGGGAGGGAAAGCTGTAGTGCTAAATTACCGACGTACTCTGGCGGCATCCTCCTTACATGACCATACCATCGCAGCCTACTCTCCTGCATCTTAAATTTGTTCTCATGCGAATCATATAATTAATATCTTCGTAATTTTAGTTAAGATCTTATCGCAACGAAAAATATAAAAGACAATACAAGAAAAGAGCTTTAATTCATATATAGAAGATTCAATGTTCGAAACACACATTACTAAAGATTACTAAAATATATTATATATTTGGTGGTATTCGCTTATTGTTACAAACTTTGATTCCGTGAACTGTGCAACAAGCGAGTCAATTTTATTTTTGAAATTTCTAGTATGTTTATTAAATATTCAAGCCGTAACATGCATACAAAATACAAAAGGAGTGAAAAACGATTTTCACGTCGGCGGTGGATAAGCGGAAACAAATCGTAATTCGTTTGACGTTCTGTTTGATTTTATTTGGTCGACTCATGTACTACGTGGTTCATAGAACACTGCTGTTACATATTTGAGTATTTAAAACATAAATTTATATTTATAAAATATAAATTCTCTTTGAAAGTTTTTTATGTCATTCTTTAAACATTATGCTTTTCCTTTTCCCCTTAACAGTAGTTGAGTGTTAAGTTTCA